AGGTCTAGTATCTACGTAATCCTAAGGAACTTTCTAGTTGTATAGGCTGGGAATGTCGAAAGGAGCCTGATGAGGTTCAACAAGGACAAGTGCAGAGTCCTGCTTAGGACGGAAGAATCCCATTCACTGTTACAGACTAGGGACCGAGGGGCTAGGCAGCAGTTCTGCAGAAAAGGACCTAGGGGTTACAGTGGACGAGAAGCTGGATATGAGTCAACAGTGTGCCCTTGTTGCCAAGAAGGCTAACGGCATTTTGGGCTGTATAAGTAGGGGCATTGCCAGCAGATCGAGGGACGTGATCGTTCCCCTCTATTCGACATTGGTGAGGCCTCATCTGGAGTACTGTGTCCAGTTTTGGGCCCCACACTACAAGAAGGATGTGGAAAAATTGGAAAGAGTCCAGCGGAGGGCAACAAAAATGATGAGGGGACTGGAGCACATGACTTATGAGGAGAGGCTGAGGAAACTGGGATTGTTTAGTCTGCAGAAGAGAAGAATGAGGGGGGATTTGATAGCTGCTTTCAACTACCTGAAAGGGGGTTCCAAAGAGGATGGATCTAGACTGTTCTCAGTGGTGGCAGATGACAGAACAAGGAGCAATGGTTTCAAGTTGCAGTGGGGGAGGTTTAGGTTGGATATTAGGAAAAACTTTTTCACTAGGAGGGTGGTGAAGTACTGGAATGGGTTACCTAGGGAGGTGGTGGAATCTCCTTCCTTAGAGGTTTTTAAGGTCAAGCTTGACAAAGCCCTGGCTGGAATGATTTAGTTGGGGATTGGTCCTGTTTTGAGCAGGGGGTTGGACTAGATGACCTCCTGAGGTCCCTTCCAACCCTGATATTCTATGATTCTATTAAATTGGGTGGAGAATGGTCTTAAATCTACAGTATGAATGCCAGAGGGTGACTGGCCCTTTAAAAGGGAGTGGGGGAGGCCAGTGCACTTGTGACTGATTACCAGCTGCCCAACTGGGCTAAAGGGAAAGCACCTCGGCCTTATCAAGAGGGACACAACAGCAGGGGTGAGGGGCTGCCTGCTGAAACCTCCAGGCACAAGGGTAAGGCGAGTGTTTGGGCCTGGTAGGAAGCACCTGGAATCCTGGGCTAGAGAAGAAGCTCGTCTCCAGGGCTGGAGCCCTGAAAAGGCACCAGCTGGGAAAAGGTGGCAGGACCTATCATATTAAAAGACTGTGTTTGAATCCAGGGCTAGGGATGAAGCTGGTCTCCAGGGAGCGAGCCCTGAGAATGGGTGAATGGGGAGAATTGTAAGGAGGAGAGGCTGCTGTTGTCCGTGGACGCTGGGTTTTAAAACAAGGTAAATCCTCTTGTTTGGGGGAAGGATAAGGTGACACTGTACCAATAAAGAAACTTGGGTTGGGCATAAATGCAGATAATCCTGGTGTAATCCAAATCTGGAAACCCTAATTTGTGGGGGAAACACAGGCACGCAGAGTGCTGCAGAAGCCTGCTTGCCCAGGAGGGGGTGCTCCAGGGCATTGGAGCAATGGCATGGAATCATTAAATTAAGATTCAGTACAGACAAATGCAAAATGTTTCAAAGTAGGACGAAATGATCAAATACACCGCTCTAAACCAAAGGGCACAGGCCTGGGTGGTGCTCCCACAGAGACAGAGCTGGGGCTTGCTGAATAGAAAAGAATGAATGCAATGCAAAGCAACTGCTGCACTGGGTTGTATTAACAGGGGCATCCGTGTGATGTAAACCTGTAGTATCAAAAGTCAGAGGAAGCTACGAGGCACATTTTACGCACCTTCTGGGCCCGACTCGTAAGGAGGACAAGTAGTCCAGGGTCGGAAACCACCCAGGAAGCCTGTGTGGGGAAAGGTTTTGATTCAAAGTTGGGAGCCCAGAGCTAGAAAACACACTTTAAGGAGGTGTTTGGTGGACTGGACTTTCCGAGATGGTAAACAGCACAGGAGAAGCCAGGACGTCTGAGCTGGCGACTCTAGGCTGCATGACCTTAGCTGGTTTTCTCCTTTAAGAGGTGTTGGAAGAGAAGCCCAAAGACTCTCTTCCGGGTGAACCAAGACTAGGTGAGATGAGGTGGTCCAACTTCTGAATAGTAGGGCCGCCCGGGGGCGGGGGGGCAAGTGGGGCAATTTGCCCCAGGCCTTGCAGGGGGCCCCCACGAGAATGTCGGAGGCTCCCCCCTGCCTCCGCCATCCCCCAGTGCCTGAACACGCCGCATCCAGGAGCGGCCCTGGACAGCCCTGCAGGGGCATGGCTCAGGCGGGGCTTGAGCTCCTCCCGCTCAGAGACGCATGGTAAGGGGGCGGGGCTGCGAGCTGCGGCCGAGCAGCGGGAGCTCAGGTCCCGCTGGAGCCACGCCACTGCAGCGCTGTCCAGGGCTGCTCCTGGACGCGGCGCACTGAGGCTCT